AGATTTGAAATCTCTGGTCAAATCTGGTTTTGCTACTAAATGTGTTAGCAATAAAAACTCACGGTTTTCAGAGCTTTCTGGACTTTAAAGTTTTGTTTAATGGATTGTGGACCTGTATCAGTTTTGTGTACAGAGAGGGAAAAAAATAAAGATAACTTTAAAATTAAATACGTAAAGCTCACACAGGGAAGGTAACATCAAGTGACAAGGTCTGAATTCTTTCTTCCATCTCTAGGCTTTGAGAGGATTCAGGCAGGTGGGACAAGATAGGGATGTTTACATTTGGCCCGAGCTCTTAGAGACAGGGTTACATCACCTCTGTTGCTGTCAGCTTTAGCTAGCTAGCTTCAGCCCTCTCCCTTGCACACACTTACTCTTTTTCTGACATCCATGCATCCCCGATTGCTGATATGGACCCAGCCAGGACCGCCTTCCCAGCAGCCCCTTCTTGTCTGACTGCTTCACACAGCTTCCTTTGCTCCAGGCCCGAATGCAGGTGAAATTAACTCAGTCCACGGAGCATCCTAGCATGGAGTCTTCTCATCTCCCCACCCCTAAGTCAGTGATTTCCACAAGGAGGCCCTGATGCTAATACTTCTCCCAATATATAAAAACCAGGTGCTTCCAGGAACTGTAAATATGAATCTACTTTAGGCTTTTAGAGCTACTGTGGAATTGAATAATCATAAAGGATACTTCTCCCATGGAGATTTATGCCCTCCATGCACCCCCACTCCCAGTGCCCAACCGATAAAAAAACCATATTTTACCAAAATATATCTCCCATCAGCAGTCCTGGAACACCTCACTAACTGACTATATTTATTGGGAAATGATTCACATTAATTTCAGGCGTCATCCTAATATTATATTTATGACAGACTGTGTGAGCGCCAGCAAGGGCCCTCGCCTCGTTCCTGGCATACATTCTGTTTCTGCAAATACATATTGTAAACACTGCCTGGAGAGATAGAATCATAAAACCAAAATAGGTTATCTTTGGAAAATCTGTTAATCCTAATCAAATAAGACAACCGCTTGCCTGATTTGAGAAACTGAGAGGCTTCATCCAAGGTTTGTGACTTTTTTCTCTCTTAGAACTTTCTTATTCCAATTCTCCCCCCACCTCTAAGATGTGATGCAACTTTTTAATGCTGGAGGGGGGGACCCTCATAATGATGAATGAGGGTGGACTTACAAATCCTGCCAAGTGAATAGTTGCTTGTTGTGCAAAAGGAGAAACTACAGACAGAAAGGAGACCAGGGGCAGGAGAAGGTGGAAGAAAGTTTGTTCAGAATCTATTTTATGTGACCTGACACAGCAAGACATGAATATGGACCCAGAGAGAGAAGATGCAAAGTGCCTGCCTACAGAGATATTCTTACTTTGAACAAGCCAGAGGAAGAGGAGCAAGGCCATTCTCTGAGGCCTCTGGGAGGGACAACCTGGAGGGCTTTTAAATATTGAGAGATCTAATATGTAATCTTCAGTTGTGTACACAGTGTGATGTGGCCACACGTACACCATTGAAGCTTTCATGTCCAGTAAAAGCCACCATACAGGACAGTCTTGAGTGGGAGGTGTTCTGGGGGAAAGGAACAAAGGGTTTTGTTCCACTTTGGAGTTGCTGTTGTCTGAAGCAGCTGTTTGCATCTGCCCTCATCCATTCCTACATCTGGGAACAGAAACCCCTCCCCTCTTTCACCAAAGCCTAAGCACTTGGGTGAAGTCTACTCTCACCCTTGGCTCCAGGGATGGGCACATGACTTAGCACTGACCAATCAGAGCATTTTTACCTCTCTAGATCAGAGGATTTGGTCCTGATAACCATGTGACCCAGGCCCACCAATCAGAGCATTTTATTATCTTGAACACAATCATTGGTGTCAGACCTGACCAGTCAGAGGATGCTATCCTTCTGGCTACAGTGATTGCTTCCCAGATTGACAAATGACCTACCATTAGCTAATATGAACAGCCCATCTCCCCGGTTCCAGATACTGTTACAATAAAGGGCAAAGCTCAAAGCTAGGTTGAAGAAAGCCACTCCAGTATTTCTGCTGGAATTTTGGGAAGGAAAAGACCAGTTCTCTTTAGACCAGGACTTTTGAGGGATGGGATGTAAGCTTGAGTGCCTGGCAGCCATTTTGTCACTGTGAGGGAGAACCTGTCTGAGAAGCAGAGTGGAGTGATAAGGAAAGCTAGATTCCTGATGATAAAGATGATGACAATAATTTTAATGCTAATGATGAACAACTTATGCTGTGCTTACCATGTCAAGCTCTAGAAACTATACCTAGAGTGGTCATTTATTCCTTTTAACAAATCTATGTTCTGGATGCTTTTAGTACTCCCATTTAACAGATGAGAAAATAAAGCAGAGTGGCCATCCAGTCAGAAGTAGAGCCAGAATTTGAACCCAAGTAATTTGACTCCAGAGACATCATTTTACTGACAATGGTTCATGTCATCAAAGCTACAGTTTTTCCAGTAGTCATATACAGATGTGAGGGTTGGCCCATCAAGAAGACTGTGATGAAGGATTGGTGCTTTCAAATTGTGGTGCTGTTGAAGATTCTTGAGAGTCCCTTGGACTGTGAGGAGATCAAACCGGTCAATCCTAAAGGAAATTATCCCTGAATATTCACTGGAAGGACTGATGCTGAAGCTGAAGCTCCAATACTTTGGCCCCATGATGATAAGAGCTGACGCATTGGAAAAGACCCTGATGCTGGAAAAGAGTAAAGGCAAAAGGAGAAGAGGACGGCAGAGGGTAAGATGGTTGGATAACATCACTGACTCAATGAGCAGAAGTCTGAGCAAACTCCAGGAGATAGTGGGGGACAGAGGAGCCTGGTGTGCTGTAGTCCGTGGGGTTGCAAAGACACAGTTTAGCGACTGAACAACAGCAATTTGGCTCCAGAGTCCCTGTTCATAACTACTGTGTATCACCCAGCAACATTTATTGAGCCCCTACTGTATGCCAGGCGGTGTGAGGACATGGCGATGAATGAGCCCTGATCCCTAATCTCCAGGGGCTCAGAGTCAGGGAGGGCCGTCACGAAAGCAGGCAAGCCCATCCGCTGGGTGTAACCAAGCTCTGACTGGGGTAGCTGCCCTCAGCTTCTGACCACTGCGCCACCTGCATCGATTTGCAGAGAAACTCACAACCTTCAGGAGAGTAGCTCCAGCCCTAACAGGCCTTCAAAAATGTCAAGGGTAGTTTTAGCCTGGAGAGTTGGTGCATCCAGTGACGGACTGGAGAAGCGAGCCTGTGCTCTGGGGAGGTTTAACGTGAAGCCACAGGAAACTCCATTTCAGGAGAGGGGTTGGGCTCAGGGAGGCCTCGGAGCTTCAGGGGGACACAGGGAGGACAGCCGGGTTGCTGGATATCGGAACTGGGGTGGAGGAGTCTCACTTGGAGAGCGTGGGCCTGGAACCTTCCCTGGTCCACTCCCAGGAAGGTATGAAGATCTTTCAGAAAGTGCGAGCTTAGCCGGTCTACATGGGGGAGTAGCACTCACAGTGAGATGGCCAGGTGGGCACAGAACTTGGGGAGGGCCCTTTAGTCATTCGACAAAGCCACATGCTAATTCCCCAGAGCCTGACATACTGTCAGCGCTCAAAACATTTTGTTGAACAAATGAGCACCCATTCCATGAACAAACATCCACTCTGGTTCGGTGCTGTACCAGGAGCCAGGGATACAAAGGAGAAGGCACAGCCTCTGCCCTGTGTTACATGGGAGGAGAAAGTTGTAGAACCGTGTGGTCAGATCTACAGCAGTTTGGTAACCCCAAGGACTGTGGAAACTCGACGGAAGACGCTTAGCAAGGTCACAGGAGCCTTCCTAGAGGAAGTCACCCTTGAATCGGAGGCTTGAAACATAATCTGAAATGAACCAAGGTAGAGAAAGCAGTGAAGTACAAAGACATAGAGCTGTATCAAGCCAAAAAATAAAATAATAAAAGAGCAGCTCCCTTTTACTGACCCCTCCATGAGGGCCAGTCACTGTGCTATGCTTGTAAAGATTGGGTTTTATTTAATCTTCCCAACAACCATAAGAGGAAAGGAAGTCTTCCAATTTGCAGAGAGGAAACCTGGCCCTCAAATGTTGAGAGCGTGGATTCTGGGGCCAGGTGGCCCAGACTTGAATCCTCACTTTTTCACTAACCAGCTGTGTCACTGGGGCAGTGACTTTCTCTCGCCGGTCCTCAAGTCCCCACCTGTAAAATGGAGATAATAACAACACCTCCCTTGTTTAAGGTTGTTGTAGGAATCCCATGAATTGCTACGAGCCAAGTATTTGAAAGATTGTTTGGCATAAGGTCATTGTTCCGTAAGTGTTGCATGAATAAATGGGGAAATGAGTGAATGGAAGTTAGGGCTAGAAAAAGTGTAACAACCTTCTACGGCCACATAGAAAGTAATGTCAGAATTTGGACCCAGGTCTGACTCTGGATTCTGAGCCTCTGTTCTTTGTTGCCAACTCAGGGTTTAGTAAAATTGGGGAGGAAAGTCGTAATCCCTGAGACTCTCATGGATGGACGGAGTGAATATCATGTGCCAAGAACTGGCCTGATCACTTTCCATGCAGCAGCCCCTCACTTAGCCCTCCTGACAACCCCTCTGGGTACATCCTAATACTTTTCTCATTTTACAGATGAAGATATTGAGGGTCAGAGTGGCTATGAGACTTGACTGAGTTGCACAGCTAGCAAGTGGCCACTCTAGGATTTGAACCCAGCTTTTTATGGCCAATTCGTGATCCAGTTACACACAAGCCATAAAGAAATTGATAAATGATTGTATCCGAGGTGACTCACTTGCATTTCTAGTTTAGTTCTCACTCCCGCCTTATGAAGAAAGTGGTGGATTGTCAGTCCCGTGTTAAAGAGGAGGAAGCTAAGGATCAGAGAGGCTGATTAACTTGCCTAAGTCCACACAGCTGGTTGGCAGCCATGCCTTCACTGAGGAGCAGAAGGGTTGTTGCAGTTTATCAGACCAGCAGCCTCCCTACCTGAACAGTCCACGGGCCCCAGCCCTCCACTTTTATTAATACAAACAGCTTCACTGGACCCAGCGACACCCGGAGGCTCCCTGCCCTGCTCCCCGGCTCACCGCTCGGCTGACCCCCTGGCCACGTGTGCTCCGCGTTCTCCGTGTCAGACGCAGGTGCTTGCAGCCACCACAGGGTCTGTTTGCCGGTGCCCAGCTCCTCGGTCTGTTACAAAACCAATGTCAGTTCATTTGAGCCTGATTCCCAGGTACGCGGCCCACACTGAATACGGTTCCATGCAGGCCAGAGAGCCGCTGTGGCTGCCGACAGAGCTCTGGGGCTTATGTCACTTTCAGGGCCCCACATCTGGTGGTCACAGCTGGCAGGCCCCAGGGAAGAAATCCCCTTCGCCTTGTCTCTCTCCTCTTCCAAAACATTCCCCTGCTGTCCATCTTGCTGACACTGTCACAGTTCAGGCCAGCGTGGTCCTTTACCTGGATGGCTGCTGCAGCCACCTCCCTAGGCTCCTGCTGGGACACCCCCTACACACACACACACACTCACACACACACACACACACACACACACACTCAAAGACAACTCACCACCCACACATGAGCCCCACTTAAAACCCACCAGTGCCATAGAGACCCAGAGCATTGAAAAACAAATACTGAAACAAATACATGAGTATACGTGTTCATAGGAACACTATGCACAATAGCCAAAAGGTGGGAACAACCCACACATCCATCAACAGATGAATGGATAAACCAATTATAGCCTATCCATACAGTGAAATAGTATTCAGCTGTAAGAAGGAGTTATAGATGCAGCACCGTAGATAAACCTTGCAAACATTATGTGGAGTGATTGATAAAGACCAGACACAACAGGCCACATATCTGATTCTATGTATGTGAATTGTCCAGAATAGGTAAATTCATAGAGACAGAAACCTGACTGGTGGTTGCCAGGGGCTTGTGGGGAGAAGGGAATGGGGAGTGATTGTTAATGGGTGTGGAGTTTCCACTTGAAGTAATGAAAATGTTCTGGAACTAGATAGAGGTGGTTGTATAACATTGTGAATGTATTAAATAGCACTAACATTCACTTTTACAGGGCCAAGTGTGTGTGTATGTAAAACTCTCACCTTTAAAAAAGTTTTTGACTATTGATTTAAAAATTTACTGTTTTAAACCATTTTCATGCTCACACATGCTCAGTCCTGTCCAGCTCTTTGCGACCCTGTGGACAGTAGCCCACCAGGCTCCTCTGCTTATGGGATTTTTCAGGCAAGACTACTAGAGTGGGTTGCCATTTCCTCCTCCACGGGATCTTCCCGACCGAGGGATTGATCCTGCGTCTCCTGCACTGGCAGGTGGATTTTAACCACTGAGCTACCTGGGAAGCCCTAACCATTTTCATCACCTGCAAAAGAAACATATTTGTTTGAATATCTGTTTTCCAGTTCTTTAGGATGGGTATTTAGGTGTGGAGTTGCCAGGTTGTATGGTAACTTTATGTTTAAACTTTTGAGAAAGTGCCAGACCATTTTCCACACTGGCTGCACAATTTTGCATTCCCACCAGCAGTGTATAAGGGCAGAGAGAGGTTTTGAGGCTTGAATGCAATAATACATGTACAGGGTTTCACTCAGGCTTGAAACACAATAAATGCTCCAAAAATATGAGCAATTATGATTATTCTTATTAACCGTCATCACTATGTACCTCCTCTAGGCCAGGCTCTGGTGTAGGTACTGGTGGTACAGAGATGAATGCAAAGTGATTCCTACTTTCAAGAAGCCCCTGTTCACCTGAATGACTTTTCATCAGGCTGTTCCGAGTAACTGGTTTGATTAACAACAATAATAATAGCTACAAATGTAATGACTGCTTATAACGTGCCTGGCATTATGCCAAGTTCTTTATTCACTTCCTTCCTGTGGTCCTCACAACAAGGGAGTAAGCAATATTAAGACAATATTACTATCCCCTTCTACAGATGAGAAGACTCAGAGTGGGGTGGGTGTTCCCAAGCACCTCAGCCGGCATCCAGCAGCGATTAAATGTGAAGCCTGTGTCCTTACCCACTGCCCTTCCTGGACTCAAATGTAGATCTATTTCCTCTCCATTCTGCCAAAATCCTAAAATTAACCCAGGTTTTCCTTGCACTGACCCACCTGGATTCTAGCTGTAGATGCCAGCATGGCAGGGGCAGCCGGTGGGCAACTTATGGGCACAAGTTTCAAGCGTTGGTCAGGGCCTGAAAGGACAGTTCAAGCAGTCACTTTTGAGGGCTAATCCAGGCAGCGTCTGGGCTTCTGGTACCCCAAGAACAAGTACCAAGTTGCATTTGCTTTTTTTCTCCTAGGCTGCAGGTCTTTCCCTCAAAATCTGGCCACTGCCAGCCACATCCTTGGTGGCCCTGCTGCTTCAAGTATTCACGGTCCCTTGCAAGACCGCACTAGCAGTTTGTGTCCAGAAGAGCAACACCTGGTCTGCCTTCCATGGTGTCCGCAGCTCTGATTCTACAAGGGACTGGGAGGGCCTCTTTCTGCAAGATGCTAGTCTGTATGGATTGTTGAGTGGGTTTCCACGAACCAGTGGGTTTTCTGGGCCTCCCAGAGCAGCTGGTGGCTCCCCTGGCAGTGCCAGGTAGAGGGGACTGAAGTGATCATCCTCAAGTCCCGGGCCCAGGGCTGCAAGGCCAGACAGAAACTGGAAGCAGGGACGACAGGCCCCGGGGGAGGAGGATGCACTGGATAGCATAGGAGACACTCTGAGTCTCTGAAAACCCCAGGAATTCCCCCTCCTCTCTCCTGTATTTCCTTGAAATGACTGTCCCCGTACTTGGTAGGTTAAACATTTTCTATCCTGTGTCCCTAAAATGGGCTTCCCTGGTGGTTCAGATGGTAAAGAATCTGCCTGCAATGCAAGAGACCTGTGTTCGATCCCTGGGTTGGAAGGATCCCCTGAAGAAGAGAATGGCTACCCACTCCAGTGTTCTTGCCTGGCGTGTTCCAGGGACTGAAGAGACTGGCGGCTGCCGTCCATGGGGTCGCAGAGCTGGACACGAGTCACTGAGTCACTAAAACAGCCATTTGAGTACCACATGTCACAGTATTTTGCCATATCCACAAACCACCATTATTGTCACTTATTTTATACTTTCTTCAAATTGACTCACTTTTTTTTTTTAATTTAAATATGTGTTTTGAAGAAAGAAAGTTTATTTTGCAACTGTAAATGAAACACTATAAGTTTTCCTTTGCAGAGACAGAATGGAACATAAAAGTAAATATGTACCTCCTACATAGATTTCTTACTAATTACAAAGGGAAAAAACTAGAGTGGAGAACCCTGACAGATACCACCCCATCCAAGAAGTCAGAGTTTACAACGCCAGAAACAGCGTCAGGGGCCTCCTGGTATGATGCACTGCGAAGGCTACCGCATTACTTCAGTGGTGTTCTTGCCAGAAGTGCGTAACTTGAATCTTCTTTATTTATTTGCAGATTTATTTTTGGCTGTGCTGGGTCTTCATTGATGCATGTGGACTTTTAGTTGCGGCGAGGGGAGCTGCTCTCTAGTTGTGCACACACTTCTCAGTACGGAGGCTTCTCTTGGGGAGCACGGCCTCCAGGTGCATGGGCTAAGTAGTTGTGGTGCATGGACTCAGTTGCCCTGTGCTATCTTCCCAGACCAGGGGTCAAATCCGTGTCCCCTGTATTGACATGCAGATTCTTAACCACTGGACCACCAGGGAAGTCCCCATAACTTGAATCTAATCCCAAGGAAACACCAGACTGAGAGATGGTCTCCAAAATGGACTCTTCAAAAATATCAGCCTTGAGAAAGGCAAAGGAAGGCTGAAGCACAGGTCCAGGTTAAAGGAGGCTAAAAGAAGGGAGTGTTAATTTCAATGTGTGATCCTGGATAAGATCCCCAAATGGAAAAATAATGATTATAAAATACGGTTCAATTTTATGTCACTATTTCATTTGGTGAAATTTCAACATGGAATCTTAAAGGTCAGATTCTAGAACTGTATCACTGCTAAGTTTCCTGCATGTGATGGTTGTACAATAGTTAGGAATGAGAATGACCTTGTTCTTAGGAGACAAACACTGATCTCTTGTGTGTAAAGGACTGTGCTGGTGATTGCATTAACTCTCAAATGGTTCAGGGGGAAACATATATATAGAAAGATATATATACACATACAGACGGAGAGAAAAATAAAGCAAATGTGGCAAAATGTCAACATTTGGCAAATCTGGAGAAGTTCAGAGAGTTCACGGTACTCTTCTTATAACTCTTCTGTTGTAATTTTTTTCCAAATAAAAAGTTTTGAAAAATGTCCATCTGCAGAGAGCAAAGGCAACTCACATATCACTGAGGGAGGGGTCCCACACTTTGGAAAATGGGACTCAGGGCCGTTTCTCCTTGTCTACGTCTCTCTGTATTGTAGTTCTTTCCTTCTTCAGCCTCCTCCTGGGTAGCTTCAGTTCAGTTCAGTCGCTCAGTCGCGTCAGACTCTTTGCGACCCCATGGGTAGGTTTATCTGCCTACTTACTCCCCTCTTTAGGGATTTAGGACTCACATTAGCATATTAAAGGCTCTGAAAAGTGGTGAATGCTTTTTGTTGGTTGAGGGTCTGCTGTTTGTTGTGCTCCTACCATGTCTCTGTGAGCTGTAGGAGATAGATGCTGTCATCATACCTGTTTAACAGATGAAGGAACTGAGGCTTAAAGAGACAAAGTCACTTATCCAAAGTTTCCTCAGAAGCCAAAGAACAGGGATTAGATACCTCCCTTAATTACCCCAATGTACCCCAAGCCACCCCTGGTGGTTCAGAGGGTAAAGAATCTGCCTTCAACGCAGAAGACCTGGGTTCGATCCCTAGGTTGAGAAGATCCCATGGAGAAGGAAATGGCAACGCTCCAGTATTCTTGCCTGGAGAATTCCATGGACAGAGAAGTCTGATGGGATACAGAGTTCTATGAACAGGGAAGTCTGGCAGGCTACAGTCCATGGGGTCACAAAGACTCGGACACGACTGAGCGACCACACACGTCACACTTTACATAGAATTACTGGAGGCAGTCTCGTGGCTGAGATCTAAAGGGATTTGGGGTTCAAATCCCAGCTCTACCACTCTGCTAGCTGTGTGATCTGGAACAAGACGCTTGTAAGTTGTGGTGATGATTAAATAAATCA